TGAAAGCCAAAACAGAGTCTGGCTCAGGTATCACATCAAATTGTATCAACAAAGCAACAGTTAGTGACCTCTGACATCCCATGCAACTTCTTCCCCCACAGGAGATTCACACTACAAAATTCTCATTGGTCATAATAAATTCTCTGGAAAGGCAAAATTATACATGAAGCCCTGTAATGGGCGCTGTCTCTGATTAAAAAACTGAAGTGGCCTTGAATCGCGTAATAATATAATATTTAGCACCCATATAACTAGGGCTCTACCAAACTCATGGCCATGAAAAATGTAATCCAGAAATCTGGTCCTCCCCCCCGTAAAATTTGGTCTTTTGTGTGCTTTCACCCTACACTACACAGATTTCACAGGGGAGACCAGCATTTCTCAAACTGGGGGTCCTGACCCAAAAGAGGGTTGTGTGTGGGGGGGGTCACAAGGTTATTTTAGGGGGGTTGTGGTATTGCAACCCTTACTTGTGCGTGGCTGCCTACAGAGCTGGGTGGCCAGAGAGCAGCAGCTGTTGGCCAGGCACCGAGCTTTGAGGCAGTGCCCTGCCAGCAGCAGCACAGAAGTAAGGGTGGCAATACCATACCAGGCCACCCTTCCTTCTGCACTGCTGCTGGGCTCCTTGCCACAGCGCAGAAGTTAAGGGTAGCACTACTGCAACCCCGCTACAATAACCTTGCAATCCCCCCACAACTCCTTTTTGGGCCAGGACCCCTACAATTACAACACTGACATTTCAGATTTAAATATCTGAAGTCATGACATTTACAGTTTTTAAAATCCTATGACCATGAAATTGACCAAAATGGACTGTGAATTTGGTAGGGCCCTACATATAACACTTAACATCTTCAAAGCAATGTGACCAGTATCAGCTCATTAATCCACACTATGCCCCAAAGCAATTAGGCAGGCGAGTGTTATCCCCAATTTATGAGTGAGGAAAGAGTCCAGCAGCCACAAGGTCCACACTTAGGCCTGGTCTACACTTAAAAATTAGATCAACCTAGCTGTGTCTCACCGTGACCGCTGTAGTTAGGTTGACTTAACCCTCTGTGTAGACACAGCTAGGTCGATGGAAGGATTCTTCTGACCACCTAGCTACTGCTTCTCCGAGAGATGGATTAACTACATTAACGGAAAACCCCCATCAACATGTGTCGACATAGGAAGCGTCTACACCACAGTGCTACAGTGGCAGAGCGATGCCGCTATAGCATAGACATGGCCTCGGTCAGTGGCAGAGTTAGGATTACAACTCAGAAGTTCTTGGCTCTCTGTACCATACTCAGACCATACTGCCTCTCTGATTATCTGACAGACTAATGGCTACTGTGCTACAGACCCCATTAGTTACCCTCAGAAGAACCACATCTTTTTAAATAAACTGAGGACCAAATTCTCCTTTACAATAAGACCCCTTTACACTTCCCTGGAAGAATAAAGGGGACATTAAAGTGGATTTCATTGTAATTTATACCTACTGCCAGAGGGGCCTTAGTGTAAATGAGAAACAGGGCTTATACAGACATGGCATTATTCAGGAATAGCTCCATGTATGGATGCTCTTATTCTGGAATGAGAGTCTCTTGTTCCTGGATTAATCCAAGTGGATTAAGATGAACAGGAACAAGGCCATTTTATTCTGGAATAAGAGCATTCACACAAGTTATTCTGGAATAGCTATTATGCATTAAATTCACACCTGACCTTAATCCAAACTAACTTTCAATAGTAAGCAAGCCCTCAGGCCTGCTGAGATCGATGCCTGTTTAAAAAACAGCCTGCTGCCTTGCTGTACCAATGTGTGTTAGATATAGCAAGTATGACAGAAAGAAAAAGTGTTGAAGTGTTAGCATTATGCTCAGACAGATGATGCAACATTAATCTGAATCAGTTAACTCCCTGCCATGGAATAACAGTAATACTTTGCACTTATGACAGGTTTCAGAGTAGCAGCCGTGTTAGTCTGTATCCGCAAAAAGAAAAGGAGTACTTGTGGCACGTTAGAGACTAACAAATTTATTTGAGCATAAGTTTTCGTGAGCTACAGCTCAAAATAAATTTGTTAGTCTCTAAGGTGCCACAAGTACTCCTTTTCACTTTGCACTTATGGCATCTTTCAGTCATGGATCTCAAGGCTCTTCACAAATATTAAGCTCATCCACCCAACATCCTCTGTAAAATGGAGAGAATCCCAATTAAGCCAAGTACTCTCATAGCCCGTATCAATGAATGTATCCTCCCAACATTCTGTATTGCAGGGAAGTAGCAGACAGGTCAAGAGACTTGCCCAAGGTCACACGTGGGTCAGTGGGAGGGACAGGAATATAACTCAGATGGCCTAACTCCTAGTCCCTCACTCTGACCCCAAGACAACACTGATTCCTCCAGAAGAGGACCCAGGATAAGCTCTCATTGAAAACATTTCAGCTGCTTTCCCCCCCCACCCACCCCCTTTTTTTTTTTTAAGTAGAAGACTTTAGTTGGGGGTGGAGGTAGAGGAATAGGGTAATTTATTTTGAGAACTTGACAGTGAATTTGAGATGGGCTCCAAGGTTCTGAGTTTAATTAAGTTTCTGGGTGCTTTTCACCCTAATTCTGTTTTACATGGTCATAGAGGATGGGTTAGCCTATTTGATTCTGGATACCACAGCTGGCTCACCCAACATACCAGACATCATAGGCTCATCCCCTAAAAACAGCTTCCCTGAGCTCATCTGTTCTTCCCAGTTAAGGGTCTGATACTGCAGAGTGCTGGGCAGCTCCTGTAAGGTATTAGGCTGAAGACTCAGCCCCCATTGGCATCAAACCGATTGATGTCAATGGAGGTTGGGGGTCCCCAGCACCTCATAGGAGGCACCCAGCATCTTGCAAGATCGGGCTCTAAAACATTCATCAGTTTGAATGGCTGAACATGTCCCTGCTGTACAGGGACTCTGAACCCTGACACATCTGTGTGTACCCTTTACTACAGTGCTATCATGCAGCCTAGCCATAAACAAAGTAAATATGATGTTGAAATATGTAATGTAGCCATCCAAAATTACTGCACGCCTGTGTGATGTCCTGCTTATCTATTTGAAACACTTTTCCTGTGTGTCAGTCAGGAAAAACAAATGCGATTAGAACAATACGCTGTTATTAAGTTTCCAAAAATAACTGAAAATGTAGAATGTTATGTATAAGGGAGCAGGTGGACTGTAAGATTAAGGGGGTGCTTGCGTCTCATCTGTCCAATTCAGCCCAGACTTTCAATCGAATCTCATTTTGCTGGACTTCCTGCCTTACAACAAATACAGGTTTATAAGTGCCTTGAATAATAATCCTCTCAAACACGCTTGATCTGATGAATTAGGTCTTGCAAAAGGTCTCTGCCGAACATACAGCTCTCTCCACTCTGGGAAAAGGAATGGAATCATGAAAGGCATAATACTTCTGGCTTCACCACCCTGGCACAAAGAAAGAAGTACACAGTCTGTTTCTGCATTCCATTAAGGGCCTGATCCAAAGCCCATGGGTCAGTGGGAATCTTTTCATTGACTTCAATGGGCTTTGGGTCAGATTCCTGAAATCTGCAGTCTTACAAAGCCACAAGGGCTGCTCTCTGCCATGTAACTGACCTCTTCTTTAGGATAAAGGCTATTTTGCTTTTTGCTGAAAGAAAGACTACAAAGAGGGAGTGTGGACTAGTGGTTATAGCAATGAACTGGGAATCAGAACTCCTAGGCTCTATTCCCAGCTTTGCCATTGTCCATCTATGTGACTCTAAGCAAATGACTCAATCTCTCTGTTTACTCAGCTGAAAAATGGAGATAAAACTGACCTACTGTGCCTCACGTGCTAAAACTAAGTAAGATTTTTGAAGTATTGTGTGATTCTCAGAGGGGAGGTTCTATAGAATTGCAAACTGTGTATGGCGGGGAAGGACAATCCCAGATGAAAATTGAAAAATAGAAAAACAAACGTGACATGCACCACGAAAGCCACATGGCGAGAAAAAAAGAGAAACTGGCCAGACTACAGGCTGACATTTACAAATAGATATTTCCTAATACAAAGGAGATGGAAGGAAATCCTCTCTGATGGAGTGTTTGACAAGCTAGCAGGAAGCACCCTTAACCTAGGTGTCTCTGGAATTTCAGCGCTGCCACAGCAACTGTCGATAGTCACCAGCAGTAAGATAGCTGCTGGGATCCAGGTACAGAGAAGGATCCTTGCTGACCTCAGAATCTGCCAGGAGGAAGTGGGTAGTGTCCACAATTTGGAGGGAATCTGATTATATTAAAAAAGAAATTAAGTATGATAACATTGCTTCAAAGTTGTTAGGTTTAGGGGCAGAATGGGGTGGAGGCTGCAATACAGATGTGTGGGAGTTATATATATTTTTAAAATAACTATTATTAAGACAGGAAAACAGAAGAAATACCCCAAAGTACATAGTATTCTACAGTATCAGAAAAAGTGAGCCACTAGCATATTTCAGCCGGGGAGGACAGATTTGGGCTGGTGCTAGCATTCTAAAAAGATACATGCATACACAGCATTTTGAAGCTGCGGCTTGGGTTGGGCTTGGGCTCTGAAGCCTACTGAAAGGAGTGGGCTTCAAAAAAACCAACCCCCTCCCCGGCAAACCCTGAACAAGATAAATATTAGCAATTGGAAATGAGCTAGATTCAGAACACAAACCCCAAACCCGCACAAATTTGGGGCAAGTTCAAATCCAGATTCAGATCCAGATCTGAAGCAGCCCTTTTTGGGAGATACAAAATGAATGGATTAATGGAGCAGATGTTCCAGTTGTTAATCTCACCACACTGCGGGAAATCACAAAGATGCTATGAAATGTATCAGCACTTAAATGTTCTTAGCTGCTTTGTGGGATGTGTCCATAGGACCTCAATGTCGCTTTTCTATATCCTTTACCTTCTAACCTATCTAGATACAAATGCTTCCAAACTTCCTTCATGTGTTTAATTTTTCACTAGCTTACTTACCATTATTAGCTTTTCTGATTTCACTATATACTGTATCAGTCCCCTTCTTTACAGGAGCTGGAAAATGTATTGGCACAGAATCAATTTATTTCCTTTTTTTGTTTGCGTTATGTTAAACTCCTTACACAAACAGAACACACTGTTTTACTTTTAGAGGAAACCGTTATATAAACAGCAATGCGCCATTCCATGTCGGGATGAAAAAGCAGCTGTTCCCCCGATCCTCCCCATGTCTATGTTATAGAGAGATGGACCCTCTCTAGTTAACGTTGAAATTAGCTTCCCATTATAAATTTGATTCTCCCTCTCACTCACACACACACATGCACAAGTTTCCCCAGCATTAAACTGATCCTCAGATTTTTCAAGGAATATCTTACCCTAGGGTAAAGCTTTTCCCTCAATAGTTTCCCTCAAACTGGACAAGCTGCTTTAAGGTGACTAGACAGCAAATGTGAAAAATCAGGAGAGGGGTGGGGGGTAATAGGAACCTATATAAGAAAAAGACCCCAAAATAGAGACTGTCCCTATAAAATCGGGACATCTGGTCACCCTAAGCTGCTTTAAGTGACGTGAGGGCTCACAAAATGAGGTCTGCGTTCTGAAAACTGCTCACATGCTCTGTGCTTCTTCTAGTTAAATCTTCCTTTCATGGAGCTGCTTTAGTTTTGTGGAAAGGCTCAAGGAACATTCGCACACTCAGAGCTCCAGTGTTCAGGATCAACGACATTTTTACAAAAGGGAGATCCCCCAGTTCATGGTGGTGGAGTGGGAATATGCAAGACAGTTCTAAATTTACCATGCCAGTGCATGAGCTGAAGACAGAGTGGAAGGGAAGGCTGAGAAGGTATGGATAGGCAGGAGAGATTGAGGGAAGAATAGACAGAGATTGAAGCCTCAAAAGACTAATGTTACTGGGTTTCTTCCTCCAAAATGCTATAGCTGGCCTTACCCACACAAGTTCCATACAGCTGAGGCTGCAGAAGAATCCTCAGGAAAGTTTTCCTCCTGGTTCTGAGGTTCCCGTTTTTATCTACTATGGTAAATCCTGCAACGAGCTTTTATTCTGGGTGGGACCATCCAAAAATACCAAATTAAAAAAACCCAAGAAAGACTTTTCCTGTCTGATGCTTGTTTAAGATCCTTTTTGTGGATCACTGTCATAAACACGGGTGCTCCTTCTGGCAGAGGTGAGGCAGGGTTGAGCCAGCTGCCAGCACAACTCAGATTCCCAACATCTTCATTATCTACTGCGGCAACACAGCTGTGGTTACCATGTGAATCTAACATGGTTCTAAAGAAAAAAATCCCTGGGTCACGGCAGCCGGGGACCTGTGCTAACAACAACTCTGTTTGAAATACTTCCTAGTATGGTTCTGGTCCTTGAATAGACAAAGGCTTTTAGCTTTATGAGGACTTCTTGAAGGGCCCCACCATGCGAATCTCATGGGCACAGGTAGATTATTTTATAGAGACTCCCATGTTTATTCTGCAGTCAAACTGAGAATCAGGATAATGAATTGTTAAATAGCAGCTCAGTGTTTCATGCACCTTGGGAACACATTCTGCAATCCCAGAAAGATTTATTTTGAATTAATTTTAAATAATTCTGCTAAACACACTTTAGACACTGAGGGCTAAGTGCTGTTGAAGTCAATTCCAAAACTCCCACTGATTTCAATAGCAGCAGGATCCGAATTTCAGCAAGCACTTAATCACAACACATAGTGGCATAAAATCAAAATAAATTGGACAGAACTGAAATAATCAAAACCATCTCAGGGCCTGATATATATATATATTTAACCTTTCATAAGTTGATCTTTTCCTAGCCCCTGGTAAATGTGCTAGTAGAAAGGACTTAAAAATAATGACATTTTGTTCCAAATGACCTTATAATGCTGCACCCTGCAATTGACTAACTAGCTATAGAAGTAAAAGGAGGGGCATGTTCTTACTGAGCCAAGGTTAGCAGTTTCTCCCTTCCCCTTTTAGGGATATTTCCTGACAATATTTTAGCTTTGGTCTTTGTTTTCCTTGTGTTAACAATAAAGGGTCTGACTCATTGCACAGTATTGTGTCACAATTAACTTAGAAAAGATATGCAATATGTTTTTGTTAAGCATAGTCTCTCCTTCAAGATTTATTACACCAGTCCCCATCACCAGCACATCTTTAAATATCAAATCAGCAAACAACTCTAACCTCCCAAAAATAATGCTATATCCAATACTTAGCTAGCCACTTTCATTAGAGGAGCCCATCGCTGCTCACAAAGCATAATCCCAAATTTAAATAAATAATCCCAAATTTACAGATGGAGAAAAATGAGGCACTGAAGCCTCGTCTACATTAGCTTTTCTTCTGGCAGATTTACCACCCTTAATAATGCTGGTGCAGCTTTCGTGTGAGCAATGATGAAGTGCAGAAATGCTTTCCACAGCCACTGCATATTTACCACCATAAGGTGGTCAAGAATATTCAGCAATCCTAGAAAAGTGATCTGTCGGGAGAGATTTGGTTTGAGGGAAAAGGGCAAAATGTTAATGGCTCTTTAATGCTGACAGACATCATTCTATAACTGGACTTTTTGGGAGGCGAGGGGATGTTTAATTAATCCTTATCCTCAAAACTGCCCCAAAGGTTACTATTATGCATTAGAGGAACAGCCGTGTTAGTCTGTATTCGCAAAAAGAAAAGGAGTACTTGTGGCACCTTAGAGACTAACCAATTTATTTGAGCATGAGCTTTCGTGAGCTACAGCTGATGAAGTGAGCTGTAGCTCACGAAAGCTCATGCTCAAATAAATTGGTTAGTCTCTAAGGTGCCACAAGTACTCCTTTTCTTATTATGCATTAATTATTGATCTTGCTCCCCTTGAGGTCAATGGGAGTTTTGATGCTGACTTCAGTGGCTGCAGGAATAGACCTTTGTATAATTAGATATAGTAATTTAGAGCCTGATCCTGAGTGATTGAGGAATACCTGAGTTCCCATTGAAGGCCATGGGAATTGAATGTATTCACCATCTTGCAGGGTCGGGTCCTTCCTTAATCTGCTGTTGATAAAATTGAAAGTAAAATGTAATCTCCTGGGTGAAGAGGCTGCCTGCTGCAAACACTCTTAGCTCTGAATGCTGCCTTCTGGTTGAGGAGTGCATCCGTCCAGAGTAGAATGTAAGCCTAGCTTTGTTGTTGTGTACTTTGCCCTTGTTCAGAAAATAGACAGAGCCAGAGGAGATTTAATTGCTTAATATTTGAGGCCTTAAATTAAGTCTGAGGCTCTTGAAGTGTTCGCTCAGAACAGAGGCGCTGGTCATTGTCGTGGTAACAGAGACATGAAAGAACACTGTGTCTTGAAGTAGAATCTGAGCAACCTCAACATGATAAAAGCATTGATGGGAATCCAGGGGCCAAAGCCCTTTATATGGGTGAGAGTAGTTACTGAAAAAGTATTTTAAAAAACAACGCCTGGCCTTACTCCTCTCTCTCCCTGAGACTAAGGCCATGTCTATGCTTCCAAGTTGACAGCAACACAGCTATGCCTCTTCAGCTGTGCCACTGTAAGAGCACTTGTGTCGCCATGTTATGCCTACAGGAGAGCATCTTCTGACAACATGGCGCTATGCATATGAGCGCTTATGCCGGCAAAACTTATGCCCCTCAATTGTGTTTTCACACCCCTGAGCGACAAACGTTTTGTCAACGTAAGTGCTAGTGGCCTAAATCTTATCCTGTATGGTGCAATGCAGAGGTGAAAGAATAAATCTTTTGCATAGACTGCTGTTTGGTTTCATATAACAGCTTCCACTCTAGCAGTATCTCAAAATGCTTGGCCCAGTAACACAGCAGGCACTGGTAGTCCAGTGACCATACACAGAAAGAAAGCACTTATATACTAAGCGGTAGCTTTTGTCTTGTCTACAGGACAAAAAACTGCAACAGTGTAAGATTTAAGCATGCTGAGTTGCATGATTTAGTCCTGCAGGACAGACAGGACCAAGCCATGCTTTAATCAGACTCCTGAACCATGAGACAGATTGTACAGTCCAAGGCTAACTTGAAACAGTATCACATAGTTAAAACATGGTCCAATCCCATTTAAAACAGGGTCTTTTAAAAATGTCAGTGCACTACTGTAATTTAACTAGATCGAATTAATATGGCAGTTTGTGTAGTACAGACTGGACCTTCCTCTCTCAATAATATTTTTCTAACATCCTAGCCTGAGTTGGATGCTGGCTCAGATGCAAAGGTTATCCCCTATTCTTTTAGGCGTTCGTTAACTTGCCCCTAACAAAGATCTTAGTTTAACATTTCATCTGATAGAAAGTACCTCTTACAACATTCTACGCCCTTGTACTGCACTGGGCATGACTAGAGGTGTGTGAAACATTTGTAACTCTAGACTAGTAAAGGCTGAGAGCTGGGACATGGCTTAACATCCTGAATGGTTTTCATTTATTCCTAACTGCTTGGGCTTTTATGTGTGTTCTGAACAATTTGCCCACTTTCTGCACAAGGAGACTGAGGATACCATGATGCTTTGGGTGAGGGGAAAAATTGAGTTGTAAGTGTCATCATTGGGAATAGGATCCAGCAAGACAATTACCTCAAAGGCCGGGAGGAGATTCACTGTAATGCCATGCTAAGAGTTCTGGCTACCACCATCATTATTATTTGTATTACCAGATTGCATGGGAGCCCTAGTTACGGAGCAGGGCTCTGCTGTGCTAAGTTCTGTACCATGGAACTTAAGACATGCAACAATGGGGCCTACACATTTACCCAACTTGTGAACTCAACTGTAAGAAGTATGTAAAAGTTCATAAGATGTTACAATAACCTATAACAACAAATGTTGATGGGAAAAGGTGCAAAAGGGAGACAGATGAATTGAGTTAATCTAAATTAAAAAGGCCTACTGATATCATTCATGGACTGTATTGAATTTATGCCGGTTAAAAACAGGAGATGAGGAGCCAGAAGTCAATAAGCCAAAATTAGTATGTCGGATATGAAGCCTAAGTAATGGACAAAATGAGGGGATGGGCTATTCCATCTTCCACTCCCTTTCTGGGGTCCTTAAAAGAAAGAATTGGAGGGGAAGCCTGAAAGAACAAAGGAAGAACAGACGAAATACAGACGGAGGCTATTAGAGCGAGCTTCACCATCATGATGGCCAACCCCACCATTTTCTGGGATCCCAGGCCTTCATCATTCTGATCCTAAGAGGTGTCCTGACCAGAACGGGCCAGACAAACAGGGACCCAGAGAACATTCCCACCCCATCGGCCCAACCACCACCACCTGGGATGACAATTATTACCATTTAAGAGACTGTCAAATGGTGGGGGAGAGGGGCTTCCTTCTAAAAAACTGTCTATAGCTAAATGGAAAGGGAACAAGGTATGTTGTTCAAATGAAAACCCTATTTAATACTTTACATTTCAAATGCTTTAACTGTTTTTCCTTTTTTTCTGTATCTTTAAGATACAAAGGGTTTTTAATGGTGTGTTTGCCATGGTGGTAAGTGGCTGTGGTCTCTGGATACCAAGCCCTAGACCTTGTTTAACACTGTTTAACACTGGACAGGGACTGGGTTGTGGTAACACCTTTAGCCCATATATTCCCTCTGAATTAATACCACTGACAGCAGGAGGCTGTTACCAGGGCAGCCAACATTCTCACTTCCCTACACTCTCACTGGGTATGTGTGCGCACGCTACAGACACTTACTACAGCAACAAACGGGGGTTTTCCACCACTATCGTAAATCTCCTCGAGAGGCAGAAGCTGTGTCTGTAGAATTAGGTTGACATGAGTTTTAGACGTAGACCAAGCCTCTGTTTCCCTGCAGGCCTCCAGCTCTCCTCAGGCTGTAAGGGACGAATCACAGTTCCTGCTCTCTACCTCCTTGATCTCTCAGCAGGTTCAGCAGTGGGTGGGGACACTCCCCGGTTCCCTGCAGGGTGGGCAGCCCCTCCCTCTCCCTCCTCCTGTGGGCTGTAGAGGCTGAAGCCACCCAAGAAAGTTTAAAAAAAAAATTAAGTGCCCCTCCATGAGCTTTGAGCCCACAACACGCAGACCCACAGCAGGCTGCTTTCTGCTTAGAACCCCAGCTCCAGCTGGTAGCCCAGCCTAGCTAAAGATCTTATGTGGAAGGGCACAGGAGAATCATGGAGGAAAGGGAAAGTACTGGTTGGCTCTGGTAACAGCAGTCCTTGCATCACTGAGAGCTATTACCAAGGAACTACCATGCATAGAGCATAGGACCTACTCCTGCTCCCAGTGAAAGCAATGGCAGAAACAGCAGGTCTGTAACGACTCCCAATACATAACTGTACAGGTCAGCCAGCTCGTTACCTTTGTAAGGATCAGACGTTGACACTTCAACTTCAGTATATTCCACCTCAGCACTCTCGTGGTCAGATCCTGCCCCAAAATAGCAAGAAGATGTTTCTTTGTAGCACTCCCTATACCATACTTGCTGTGAGCCTGATCCTGACTCAAGGGAAGTCAATGGTCAAGCTCACAAGGACTTTAACGGGCACATGATTGGGCAGATGGGGGTTCAGCCCAGCCTGCTGAAGCTGACCTCCTTTTTAAAACCGGGGAGGGGTCTGGGTGGTGCCTGAAACTCTTGTCTTTTTTTTTTTTTGAGGTCTTGAAAAATAGCAAAATGCAAATTTAGAAAATCCTCTGCCCCATAGTCCTCTGTGTGCCTGTCCAGCTTCAACTAGTCTGTCTCTCCCCCTTTCTCTGCCCTTCCTGTCCCCATTATTTTCTCTTCCTTTTCCCGTCGCCGACAAAGGAGCATCTCCTCTGCACTTCTTTAACACCTCTGTTTACCTCAATGTCCCCCTCCTATCATCTTATCTCTTGCCCCCACCTCTGATCTCCTCTCATCAGTCTCCTTCCCCTCACAGTAGAAGCGTGTTTTAATCACTAGCATCTTCAAATAACCCACTGTTTATCTCTAGCTATTGCCCCATCTCCCCTCTATCCAAGTTCATTTAATGTGCCCTCAACAACTGCTGTCTAGAGTTCTTCTCTGCTAGTTCCAGCTTAGACCCTTTCCAGTCACCTCTTGCCCTCCACTAAAACAGTTCTCAAAGTCTTCAATAGTCTTCTCCTAGCCGATGCTCATAACCAATACTCCCTGCTCATCCTCCTCTGCCTGCATTCAACACCTTCAACCACGCTTCTCTTCTTGAAATCCTGCCCTCTGCTTTCATGAACCTGTTCACTCCTGATTGTTCTCCTTCCTCCCCAATCACTCCATCAGAATTTTATACAGAGGATCCCCATCACGTCCACCATGCAACTTCTTTTGGGGCTCCGCAGGCCTTCATCCTCGGTCCCCTTCTGTAACTTTTCTCTGGGGAAGTCTCATTTGTAAACATGAATTCAACTATCATCTTTACACTGATGACATTCGGAGCTACCTTTCCACTCCAGACCTATTTCCTTCTGTCCAAGATAATCTCAGTCTTTCTGATATCTTCTTAGGGATGTCCATTTATAAGCATAAGATCAACATGGTTAAAAAAAACCTCAATCTTTCCGCACAAGCCTTCCCACATTCCTCTTTTCTCAGTCATCATGGACATCACCACCCTCCTGCCTTTCACTCAGACCTGTAACTTTTACCTTCAACTCAGCCCTCTCTTTAGATCCTCACATCCAGGCTTTGTCTACATCTGGCTGCTTCTTCCTGCGCAAGATTTAGGTCCCAGAACCCATCTGTGCTGCTAGAACTCTCATCCAGACCATGGCAACCTCCTCTTCGCCAGCCTTTACTAATCCCGCTTTGCCCCACTTGTATCCATTCAAAATGTTGCTGCAATCACTTTCCTTGTTCGTCACCTCAACCTTTGTGCTCTCCATTGGCTCCTCCTTCTCCACTGTACTACTTGTCTTCACTTTCAAGGCCTTTATGGGCTATCCCAGCCTTACCTATTATCCCATATGCTGCTGGGACAGCAACTCTCACCTCTGTTCTGCCAGTGATACCAACTCTCAATGCCCCTTTGTTACATTTTCAACAATATCCCTTCGCACTTTCTCCCATAATGTGTGGGTGGAGCTCCTGATAGAACATTGGCAAACTCACCCCATTATTCTCCTCCAAATCCCTTTTTAAGACTCCCCTTTGCCACAATACTTATGAAAAGCTTGACAGCAGCTAGCCAGCTGGTGTGCCGAGATTGCTGCTTTTCATGCTGACCAGTAACATCTGATGGTTGTAGCCATCTGATGTCTCTTGCCTCATATTTAGGCTGTCAGCTAAGGAACGGTCTTTTCATAGGATTCATAGAATTTAAGGCCAGAAGGGACCACCGTGATCATCTAATCTGACTTCCTGAATAACACAGGCCTTAAGACATTTTTGTTGTGGGTTTGCCCAGCCAAAACCATGTTATAACGTGTCAGGTTAGCAGGAATCACATTTTGAACACTCACATGCCTACGTGGCAAGCACAGATGGGAGCAAAGGGAGAGGGTGGACATAGTAGTATCTGTCTATGAGTTTTCAGCCATAATATCCCCAGAATATTTACATTTAAGCACTGCTTTTTAATAAGTTCTTTTAAACACTCAGTCCTGAAAAATACTTTGTATCTCTATACAACTATGCATCTAGATGATGCAATACCAGATACAATTATTACTTTAAAAAGGAGGTATTTTTTAAAACCTATTTGGTGCCTCAGTTAGCTGGAAGATCATTTTCTTCATATTTGACACCCAATTTTATGCTGCTTAAAATGTCAAGATGTGGAAAAATGATGAAAGCAAAGATAAATAGAAGGTAAAGGAAGCCTGTGGAAAGATTTTCTGTAAAAGATTCAAAAATAACATTTGAAATATATTTGTAGGTAATCATACTTTTCTTTTTCTACGCCACCAACCAAAAGAAGCAACTCATTAGGCTCAGAACACGCCTGTGACATGGACATTGTTATGCTCATTTTGCAAGTGGGAAATACAAAAAACCTAGACACAGAGAGGATAAGTGACTTCCCACAGCATCACTGACGACAAGGTGGGAGAAAACAAATGAATATAGAAGGCCTAATTGCCAGTCCCCTGCTCTCACAATCAGACATGTCCCCACCACTTTTAATTCCAAAATGATAAAAAAGTGATGATTAAAAAAATAGTGTGAAAATTACCTTTATTTGCACCTGTTGATTTTACAGGACTTTCACTGTCTTCAATGTAACCTGATCCTAAAATTAAATACACAAGCAGAAAGTGAGCCAACAAGCAGCTTAGGATAGTTGTGATTCATTCATTTAGCTTTCTCATTAAAATACAACAGAAACCTCCTGCTGTCACAACATGTAATGATTTAATTATTTAGGGGAAATTTTGCTTTTGGGTACATGTCCAAGCCACTCTCATAACATAGGAGAGCAGAATCTGATCCTATAAGAGGATCAGTTTAAAGCTAAATGAAACCAAGGAATAACTTTGTTCACATTGAATGAGCTTTCCACAAGGTGACAGTTTACCCACATTGGATCACTGACACCAGTAGAGTTCGGACTCAGATTGAGGGCAATGAATAGCCTGCAGAGACCAAAAAACATATTGAACATAGTTTTTGGGGGGTGGGGGGATGGGGGGGGGGGAAACTAGTGAAACTTATCTTGAAAACTGATGTCTTCCAGAGTTTGGAAAAGATGAACATGAGACGGGGGTTTTCTAGTGGAGAGGTAGGACTATCTAAGTAGCTAAAAAACAGGGACTGTAAGTGAACAGTCATGTGTTCTTCTGCCCCTTGGGCAGGTCACCTGATCTCTGTCTTGGTTTTTCCTTTACAGAAAGAGGATATACTGCTTATCCACCTTTATGAAGTGTTTTGAGATCCTGGGATGAAAGGTACTATATAAATACAAAATTATTATTATTTAGTGGTCTGAGCACAGAGTTGGAGCCACAAACTCCTAAATCTCTGCTCTGATGTTCTCTCTTTCTGTGGCCTTGGTTGTACTGTTGAACACTTAATCTGCCTTTACCTTGGTTTCCCCCGCATCTGTAAAATGAGAATTCTACCTATCTTGCATAGAAGGCCAGGAAGATTAATAATCTGATGTTTGGTATAAAGGTGCTTGCAAGAATATCTAGGAAAAGAATGGCTCATGAGAATCCTGTATATATTCACAGTGTCTGGATGGTCATCTTGGAAGCTCTGAGTCTGGGGGTCATCCAGTCAGGGAGCAGAATAAATAGATGAATCTTAAGTCACATTGTTTCACAGAACTAACTAAAGTTACATATAGCAAACAGAAAAGTACTCCTTTTCTTTTTGCGAATATAGACTAACACGGCTGCTACTCTGAAACCTGTCATATAGCAAACAGTAATTCTGTTACTCTAGTAAGTAGTTTATATGCAGGTCAGAAACTGAAATGTGTTTATATAAACTATTCTCCAATAGTTTGAAAGAAGTTAAAATTCATAAGACTCCAATCTATTCACATAATTGGCCAAAAAGTTACTAGACTAAATTATTCACAATAGTTTATCCAGGTCTAGTCACATACAAGAGAAGAAAGAGCCTAAAGTTCCAGTTCACTGGTAGCCAAAAAAATCTCACAATAATAGTCAGCCCAACATGGCAGAACAGCTTATAAAAATTTGTCATCTCATGAGAACAACTTACAAGACGGCAGTTCTAACCAACACAAACCCAACACTACATCTGATTGGGCCTCAAAAATCAACACGAGCCTAACCCTGATCTGGTCCCAATCCTAAGCCATGCCTCGTCTCAACCCCTAAGTATTACTAAGGCTCGTTCCATCAAGCCATTTCTAACCACTATACCCACCTCATTTTCAGACCAGGTTTCATTGTGTATAGCCCCCAGACACACAAAAAAACAAACAAAACCAAACACACCTTACATTTGCACATGCAGACTGGATAACTGCATATCCTCATTCTCTGATCTACAAGTACAAATGCTGTTTTTCGTGGGTGCATCTATTATTCCATCATTTAAAAATTGTGCCCCAGTACATACCAGGACCATGCGAAGCCAAACTTTTAAACAATCATTTGTTGATTAAAGCAATATGCTACCAGAGAGTATAAAAAAAAATAGTCTACCAGGATAGAGTTCTGTATAATGGTTCTGTCCAGATTCCAGTTTCTCACTAGTCGAATTAGTGGCTGCTGTGGATCTAAAAAGGAAATGTACAAAAATGGACATGACTAAGGAACCATCCTTAAAAGTAAAAAAAAATAAAGTGATAATTGTTTAAATTGGCACCACTCCTTTATTATCTTTTTAAATTAATGGAAGTTTTGCTGTTGACCTCAATGGGAGCATAAGCAAACCCCAATGTCAAGTGTTATCTCCCTTTTCTTCTACCATATGTCTCTATGTGATTTTAATCCTACATTTGAAGGCATTCAAATCTAGGCCTGTCATTCCCCATTTTTAGTAATTAGCCCATTTCCATTTTGGATTATTTCCTCATCATGTTGTTTCTGAGTAGGTGGTCTGCTGCAAGTAGCCACAACCACCTATTGTCTCCAGCTGAGAGACCTAATAAGATTCACCATATATGTGTAACATAAGCCTCCAGCATTTCAGTCAGACACGTTTTACCATTTCCAGAAAGAAAGCCATCTTACCCAGACATCTCCATGGAAGGATGTTTAGCTTGCAAGGGAAAGAGAAGAGATAATTGTTATATCCTGCTCCAGTAGAGAGACAAATGCATAAAAGGTGAAAATGAAAGCTACATGTGGGGGCCCATCCATCCCTGAGTTAGGATCGTTTCTAGTGGCCGCAGTGAAGTTTGGTATCTTATTTAGTTGATGTGGAAGTTGCCAAATTGACTAGAGGTCTTCATGTTCTAGTATGAGCATAGAACAGATACGGCATCGACAGTTTCAATACAGGCTCCCTCAGATTCCCCTCTTGATCTAGTGGGGATACTTCCAAAGACGAAGGGGTATCTCAGAATCCATGGCTCATTCAGTTCTTGGCCTCACTTCTGAGACTGTTAACTAGGAGGCTAAATGTGATGGTTTCATGTACAGACCACCATACAGTCCACTGAAAAGCTTTCAGACCTTAACCTTTGATTGCGGAGCTATACTGACCTGGACCAAAATTAAGTAAGTTATTTAACCCTCTGTATCCTACTTCTAATCTCTTTAGCCAACCAGTCCTCTGGATCTGATGTTCTCTTCCAGGGATGCTGTGATCTAAAACCCTGCTCCTTAGGCAGGCCGATATACAGATATCTGGGAGTTTCAGACACTCCAAATTTTCCCAGATATTTTGGTTCAGAATGGATTTAAACCAGTCCTACCCATTTTTCTATAACAAAAAATGTGAAAGAGTAACGCAATTATAATTGACCGAATCCTGAGGTCACTACTTAGTCAAAACTCACAATTAATAGGAATTGTTTTTGAGTAGAGACTGAATAAATGCTGAGTAAGAACCTCAAGTTTTTGAGGCAATAAGGATTAGAGATGGGCCTGAATTTGTGGAAGTAAGGGGGAGTCCAGAACTAGAACCCAGATCTAAATTTCATAGCTTTATAATGGATCAAACCAAAAGCTCCGAGCCAAACAACCTCCAGCATTGGGGTGGTTGAAAATCCTACATTTGTCACCTTTCCCCCTGCCCAGTCCTTTGTTCTTGCAGCCAATCCCCTCATTTGTTCTATTCATTCAGCACCCAGAGAACAGAAGATATTCATTGTTACCCTTTTCCTTCTTACGCCAGTACCACCAGAAACCAGAAGCTGCTATGGCAATTACAGCCAAGACAAATAATGCGATAAACCCTTTCTGCCATGAAGCCAGGATGACTGGAAATGAGAAGAGACATGTGTAACAATGCATGCAGTGGTATGAAGTCACAACTGGCTTTTACAACTCCTGAGTCCTCACTACAGGTGGTCTTGGCATTATTAGAAGTATTTAGTGCTCAGGAGGGTGAGTTCAGACAGCTCTGGAAAAGCTTTAAAGAGGTTACCATCCAGAGTTCACTACTGGGTTCTTCCCTAACTGGGTGGGGGTCTGTTCCTAAATCCAGTCAGGGAAAGCTTTTAGTTGGCTTCTCAGCCTCTCCTAGTATGGTTGAGGATGTAGGGACAGCCCATTGTCATAAGTGGCTCTGCCTGGCTGACCTCTGCCACAGATCTGAAGCCATGGAAAATGCAAAAAAAGCCACAAAAGTTTAACACCCACTCCCCAAAAATTAGATAGATGTGGCCACTGGGGATAACAAATCCCCTTGGTCCAGTTCAACACTAGTAGGTATTTTATGAAACCTAGCATTGAGTGGCAAGTAGGCAAGACCACCAACCCATCACCCCACTTACAGCTAGGCAGGGAGATCCCCTGGACACAGCTCCTTTTTGCTGCTTGAGCATAGCTAGGGGACTGAAGGAAAGTGAGAAACATTATGGACTGCAGGAGGAGAACTTATTCTCCTGCGTTTTTCATCTGCCAGTCAATTAAACTACGTTAAGTTTTGGATCTATTCACTCTTGTTGGGGATTTTTCTAGAGAGGAGTGCTTTTGCATTAGGCCAGAGTCCATGCTGCCTAAGTTGGTTTTCCTTGGATCCAAGAGCTAAGTCTTCCTGGGGTTTGTTCAGTTTAGAACACAATGGGACTGTTTTGGTTAGATGGTGTCCCAAACCTTTCATGCTATCCCCCACCAACAGCGCATGCACAATTCCAAGTGGCAATACAATCTAGTGGTGAAGTCCCTACCTACATTAGTGGCCCTTTATAATTCTCCTTATCCTGCAGGAAAGGAGTGTTTGGTGTTTTTACCATGTACTAAGTGTTGCAATGGAATTCACCATGTAAGGCAGGAAATTCCCTGCAGAAGAGGAGGAATTTTAAAGGTCCAGTACATTAAGATGCCTTCTTTCCTGTCATTTAAAAAAGTTATAGCTACTGTAAGAGATGCCTCAGTTCTAGGTAATCCCAACATTACATGTAACAGTAGATTTGAGATAGACCTATTCTGGTGCTATTCCGAGCAGCCTAAGGATGTGCCATCAAGAGCATAGCTTACCTTTAACGGTTAGCAAGTTGCTTCGCACAGTAACCCTGGCTCTGTTGGAGGCTTCGCAAAAATATTTCCCTGCGTCCTGCTTACTCAATGATTTCTTCTGCCAGACGACTCTGGTTTCCATTTTGCTTTCATAAAATAAAGGTTTCTGGTCATTTTGTTTAAAAATTCTGAAGTCGATTGGCAAAGATCCTTCGCCTACGATGCAGAGAAAGTTGATATCTCCACCATCTTCCACTTCCCCATGGGGTAAACTTCCAAAGCTTATGTTCCTAATGGGAGCTGCAAATGAAGGCATGAGGAAAAGACATCAGGTTATAAAATACTATTGTAGAAATGCTTAGTTTGGCACCACTTTGTCTTGCTGCCAGAGAGACTGCATTTGTGTTCCGTTATTCCCACGCTCCTGGCCAGCGTCTGCTGGGGAGCAGCGCCCATTGATTTATATATAACTCTACAGTGCCTAGTCCCTGATATACTCATGGGTACTCGAAAGAAACAAAAGTAGAGAAAGTCTGATCCAAAGCCTATTCAAGTCAGTGGGAGTCTTTCCATAAACTTCAATGGGTTTTTAATCAGGCCCTAAATTGAAAACAATTTAGATAATATCTCTAGAAATAATCAACCAGATCCTCAGCTAGTGTAAATCAGCATAACATGGCTTCAGTGGAGTTATGCTATTTTACACCAGCTAATAATCTGGCACAGAACCTGTAAATAATGTTTAGCTGATTTTTCAAATCAATTACTAGTGAACACTGGCAGCTAATGGACCAAGTTCTCTACTGATGGAAGGACTGAGCAAATGGCCCAGATTTCTCATTTTATAGTGTATAAAAAACAGGAAGTAAGAGATCAGTTACTTTATTACATTCATTAAAATATAAAGTATGTGTAGTCAAAATAACACTATTTAGATTTGATGTTTTATTAGCTATGCCAGTGCTTAAAAAGTTAACCTGAGAGGCAAGTAGTGTATATTGATATTTTTTATATAATTAAACCACAATGTATATATGTCATGCATCCAAAAAACTCCATATATTAAAACAACATTAATGTTGCAAAAGTCAAAAGGATCACACAGACAAAAGTTAGGAAATGCCACAATTCAGGTTTCCTGTGGAACCTTAATTCAGCCCCTTTTTGCACATACATTAACATACAGTCTTTATTGACATGAACACATACTATTTATTCCACAGGATCTCTGTTTCATTCAGTGCACCAGATGGATGATACTGAATGGCTACCTGTGACACATGGCTAGAAAGGGTTAAACAGCCTGAAAAATAAGTAACCCACAGAAGACATGTGGGGAGATAATATTTGTGGTTTTGTGTATTTACATATGTAAAAGTAGAGTCCGGACAATGTAATCAACAGTCCCTGTCTATGCTGTATTCTGATAGAATTTAAATGAATTGCAAACACGGGTTATCTTGGTATTCATCTCTCTTTGAAATGTACTGTGAATAGTGGAGGAAAAGACAAATGGCCTTATGTTAATTGGTATAGCTAAGTACCAGGGATGGACCTCCTTCAAAGTCATCCTAATTACCTTTTGTTCCCCGAGGAACTCCCAACTTGTCAAAGAAGACATTACACTGTATCAAAGTTCCTTGGGTCCTGATTCTGTCATCTCAGATCTGCTTAGACTTCATCAGGGAAAGTTTGAGTCATAAGACTGAGGTCCCAGTTATGCTGGTTCGCCCTGAATATGAGATCTGAACATTGGACTACGACCTATGAACTGAATTCTAAAGGAACTCTTTGCAACTACAAAGCTTACCATCTCTGCTGTGAATCTGAACCTCAATGAACTGAACTCATGTCTGTATGTATATTGATCTTTTAACCGTACTCTCTCTCGTTTTTTTAATAAATTTTAGTTTAGTTAATAAGAATTGTCTGTAGCGTGTATTTGCGTAAGATCTGAAACATTCGTTAACCTGGGAGGTGATGTGTCCGGTCCTTTGGGATTGGTAGAACCTTTTCTTTTATATGATGAAGTAAGATTTACAGAAATTTTCATCATATTTGATGCGGATACCTGGATGGAGGCCTGAGGCTGAATCACTTTAAGGGAACTGTGTTGTTTGGACTTCTGAGTAACCAGTAGGGTAATAAAGAAGCTGTTTTATGCTGGCTTGGTGAATCTAAGTATTGGAATATCCACCAGCTTTTTGGGGTTTGGCTGCCCCATTCTTTGCAGTTCACCCTAATTGAGTGACCACAGCTGGCTTCCCACTAGGACCCCGGTCACATCGGCACAGTCGTGCTTGGATACACATTACCACAGGTTAATTGGGTTTTTGGATTAGAACCACACACTTGTCAAAATTTAATTTTGATATTGGAGAGTTTAAGGGTTAAAAATCCGTTACAGTGAGTGACCCATGATCAAGATCCTGACAGAAAAAGCCTGGAAGAATTGTGCTTACAGAGAAGGTTGTATTTTAGCAAAAGACCCCAGAGCAGGAACTGAAAAATCTGTTAATTGCCAGTAATAAGGAAGCAGACCCAGCGAAAATGCTTGCAGTGAGAAACCAGCAGCTAGAATTTGAACAAGAGCAAAAAATAGCTGATATGGAAGGAGAAGCTGCTAAAAGAGAATGCCTGTGTTTTGAACATGAACAAAGAATGGCACATATTCGATTGCGGGAACTAGAAGCTAAGTCAAAAGTGGAAAGACTTAAGCTCCAACCCAAGAGAATAAAAGAACAATAGGAACTGTATCATCCTGAAAAGCCAGCTTCTCTCAACAGCAAGGATGGGGATAAAATCTATCCAGTTTGTAACAGTGTTGGTATGTTGTTTGACTCTAAGCAGTTGTCTGTGTGTAACCAAGTTTACCCCAACACTGCCACCTTTTATGTAAATGCTTTTACTGCGAGCTCAGGTGAAGGTAACCCCATAACTTGTGCAGAGAATGTAAAAGTCTATGATAAAAGCTGTTTAGGGCAAATTACAGCTAACATCACTCTTGTTAAAGCAGATCTTGTCAAAGAGGAAGATTATTTACCAAATAAGAATGTGAATACTGTAATCCTCTATGAGTTTACTGTAAGTATGCCTTTAGCCAGAATCCATCTTGAATGGAATGGTGTTAAACATGAACTTACAGCTGCTGTAAGAAAGTTATTGCCTAAGGATCTTTTGATTGGGGATAATATTAAAGCTTTCTTCAGTCAGGTTGATGACATAAATCAGTCACAGGAAAGAAATAATCCTGAACCTGTGTCTACTAGGGGCAAGGATTTGTCTATGGAGGATTTGTCTATGGAGATATTCTATCGATTACCCAAGATCCATAAACCTGGAAATCCTGGGCACCCCATCATCTCAGGCATTGGCACCCTGACAGCAGGATTGTCTGGCTATGTAGACTCCCTCCTCAGGCCCTACGCTACCAGCACTCCCAGCTACGTTCGAGACACCACTGACTTCCTGAGGAAACTACAGTCCATCAGTGATCTTCCTGATAACACCATCCTGGCCACTATGGATGTAGAAGCCCTCTACACCAACATTCCACACAAAGATGGACTACAAGCCGTCAAGAACACTATCCCCGATAATGTCACGGCTAACCTGGTGGCTGAACTTTGTGACTTCGTCCTTACCCATAACTATTTTACATTTGGGGACAATGTATACCTTCAAATCAGTGGCACTGCTATGGGTACCCACATGGCCCCACAGTATGCCAACATTTTTATGGCTGACTTAGAACAACGCTTCCTCAGCTCTCGTACCCTAACGCCCCTACTCTACTTGCACTATATTGATGACATCTTTATCATCTGGACCCATGGAAAAGAAGCCCTTGAGTAATTCCACCATGATTTCGACAATTTCCATCCCACCATCAACCTCAGCCTTGTCCAGTCCACACAAGAGATCCACTTCCTGGACACTACAGTGCTAATAAACGATGGTCACATAAACACCACCCTATACCAGAAACCTACTGACCGCTATTCCTACCTACATGCCTCCAACTTTCACCCTGACCACACCACACGATCCATTGTCTACAGCCAAGCTCTGCGATACAACCGCATTTGCTCCAACCCCTCAGACAGAGACAAACACCTACAAGATCTCTATCAAGCATTCTTACAACTACAATACCCACCTGCAGAAGTGAAGAAACAGATTGATAGAGCCAGAAGAGTTCCCAGAAGTCACCTACTACAGGACAGGCCCAACAAAGAAAATAACAGAACGCCACTAGCCGTCACCTTCAGCCCCCAACTAAAACCCCTCCAACGCATTATCAAGGATCTACAACCTATCCTGAAGGATGACCCAACACTCTCACAAATCTTGGGAGACAGGCCAGTCCTTGCCTACAGACAGCCCCCCAACCTGAAGCGAATACTCACCAGCAACCACATACCACACAACAGAACCACTAACCCAGGAACCTATCCTTGCAACAAAGCCCGTTGCCAACTGTGCCCACAGATCTATTCAGGGGACACCATCACAGGGCCTAATCACATCAGCCACACTATCAGAGGCTCGTTCACATGCACATCCACCAATGTGATATATGCCATCATGTGCCAGCAATGCCCCTCTGCCATGTACATTGGTCAAACTGGACAGTCTCTACGTAAAAGAATAAATGGACATAAATCAGATGTCAAGAATTATAACATTCATAAACCAGTCGGAGAACACTTCAATCTCTCTGGTCACGCGATTACAGACATGAAAGTTGCGATATTACAACAGAAAAACTTCAAATCCAGACTCCAGCGAGAGGAACTGCTGAATTGGAATTCATTTGCAAATTGGATACAACTAACTTAGGCTTGAATAGAGACTGGGAGTGGCTAAGTCATTATGCAAGGTAACCTATTTCCCCTTATTTTTTCATAACCCCCCCCTCCTCAGATGTTCTTGTTAAACCCTGGATTTGTGCTGGAAATGGCCCACCTTGATTATCATACACATTGTAAGGAGAGGAGAGTCATCACTTTAGATAAGCTATTACCAACAGGAGAGTGGGTTTGTGTGTGTGTTGGCGGGTGGGGGGGATTTGTGTGTGTGTTGGCGGGTGGGGTGGATTTGTACTGGAAATGGCCCACCTTGATTATCATACACATTGTAAGGAGAGTGACCACTTTACATAAGCTATTACCAGCAGGAGAGTGGGGTGGGGGGAGAGAAATTCTTTTGTAGTGATAATCACCCATTTTTTCATGGTTTGTGTGTATAAAAATGTCTTCTGTACTTTCCACAGTATGCATCTGATGAAGTGAGCTGCA